AACAATATAAATTATTTCCAAAGGAACTAGACTAATACAATTCCAACCTGGCGAGTAGCGACTTATAAACAAGACACTTCGTTTGATGCTTTTTCTTGTTGCTAGAAATCAGGTTCGCAGAAAATGCTGTTTACTAGTTAAATTTAGTAGGAATAACACGATCTGTGACGTAGGCTATAGTATACCCAATTACGAAATCTATTCTCGTTGATTTTACGTGCTTGTGCTCACCTGACATAAAGAAAATTACGCGAATTATAATTAAATATTAAAGTATATGTAATTTACTTTCCTAAAAGAATAGAGCTATAAGATAGAAAATATCACTCTTGTTATCTTCAAGATATTTGAAAACTGAATCATTTATAGCAAAATTTAAAACAATGGCTAACTTTTAATCAATCAGAAAATTCCATTTCGATTGTCGCTGATACCGCTGGAACGGTTTGTCGCAGAATTTTCTAATGTCGACAGAAACCTTCCTCGTGCTTTGAATTATCTGTATGCCTAAGGCTCCTATACCAGGGATGGCGAACCAATGGCACGCGTGCCATTTATGGCACCCGACACAATATTTTGGGCACGCCACCGATCACATTTGTTATTACACTATGAATTGTTATTACTCAAATGCTATTACACTATGAAGCATATGTAACAATTAAATTAAAATTCACAAAAAACACGCAAAATAATAAACAATTATTAATGAAAAAATTAACAATGAATGCTAAAATTAACTGGAAGCAATTAATAACCATAAAAAACAAGCTAACAATAAGTAACTAGCAAAAAAAATCAACAGTCCTGCTTAAACTAACACCTTACAGCCTAATATAAGTTATTTGTCATTTAATCTGCAACAACAGAAGTCACACTGATGTTGATTTAAGTTGAATTACGCGTATAGCTGAGACAGTACAAAAAAATTTTTTTCAATGTAAATAAAGAGTTTTGAGTTGATAGTATTTAGTATTAATTTTTTCCCAATAATCACGAAGTCAAAATTATTTGACGGCACGTCTATGACCTCATCAAACAATTTTTTAGAAAAAATGGCACGTTGGTGTATAAAGGTTCGCCACCCCTGTCCTATACTATCAGTCTAATTCAGGGGCTCTATGTATGCCAAGTTTCATAGCTTTCTGTCGAATAGTTTAAGAGTCTATGAAGGACAAACAGACAGGCAAACACACATTCATTTTTATATATATATATATAGATTTGTTTTCGGGAGGAGTGATTTTCACTCGAGAAACTGTTACATCGACTACGCATCCAGAAATAGTTGTTGTTCAATTCCAGATAACGACTTGTCTCTTGCATCACTCTGATGAAACCTCATATAATTGCGAAAGTTCGTTGAAACGTTTTTCACTTAATGTGACAATACTCGTTGGGAAAAACCTTTGCAGATATGATGTCATCACACTTGTCTGCATAGCAATATAAGACGCGTAAATAAGTACGAGTACAAAATTGTACTTTTTGTTTATGACACGCTTCTAAAGTATTAGTCTGATTGATCTCATTCAATTCAGCATAACTTTGCATTGCTTGTAACGACCCCATCGTACTGACGTCTCTTTTATTTACATGAGAATTGCGCTTCTTCAATAACATCGATATTGATATAAATTATTCATTGGTATTTAAGTCACCATAATTAGAGTGATTTCTTTCTTTTTCCAGTACAATCTCTGAGTGAACTTCTAAAACAAGAAATCACTTTGAATTTAGATAAAGAAGAGAATTCATTGTGCAATGCTATTCGAAGAAAGTTCACTCTACAGGTTAATTATTTTATTTACTTTTAAGTACACCAAAAACGGTGGCTTTACACCAAAGTGGTTTAGTGGGACCGAGAACCAAGCATTGTTCATGGTTTAATCAAAAATATTTTTTTACACTTCTTACAAGGGAAGTACAGTGCGAGAAATAAAAACACTTACAATAACTTTTGATCTAATGATCGGATTATTACTTTCTGGGACTCAATCTTAATGGTTTGAGGGGGTGACCTCAAATATGCTAATTAATAAGTGAAAACGATGTTTTAAGTTACGAAATCACACACAAAACCGTACTTTCTCTGAATAAACATATCTTTTTTTACAACGGATTCAAATTTCTGAACCTCAAAAATACAGAGAAAGGCCGCAATCTGGAAAATAGAGTCCCCCATAATTCGGTCAGGAGAGCGGTCAAAAATTTGAACCCCTTTATATGTTAAATTTATTTTTTGCGTATTTCGCCATACCATAATTTTGAAGTATGTTATTTTGAAAGGTCGAATAGTTCCTGAGAAATTAAATTTTAAAAATACAGCTTCTTTAAAATTCGTTTTCTCAGGAACCATCCGACTGATTTCGTTCAGACTTTGCCTTTTAAAATGACATTCTTTAAAATTATGTAAAAAAATTTTATATTTCACAATTCAAAATTTTTTCGACGCTCATTAAATAAAACAATACAAAATAATAAATATTCACTAAAAGTTTATGGAATCATGTTTGGATAAATGAATTTTACAGTTGCTTGCAAAAAGTTTTCAATTCGCTTAAAAAGTTTTCGATGCATGGCGAAATACTCAAAAAATAAAATTAACATTGAGGAGTCGAAGCTTTGGACGGCTAAGGGGACTATATTTTCCAAATTGTGGCTACCCCCTTTATTTTGGGGGTTAGAAATCGGAATCCGTTGGGAAAAAAAAGTTTATTCAGAGAAAGTGCGGTTTTGCGTCTGATTTCGTAACTAAAAATATAATTTTCACTTATTAATTAGCATATTTGAAGTCACCCCTTTGAGCCGTTAAGATTGAGTCCTGGAACGTTAAGATCCGATCATTAGATCAAAAGTTATTCAGGGTGGTTCACTTTTTATTTTGCACTTTGTCCGTATTTGTGAGCTCTGTCCGTATTTGTGAGCTCTGTCTGTATTTTTTAAATAGTTACTAAATGAGTATTGTTTGTACTTAAAGTAAAAAGAAAGAAAAGGAAAACCAACACATTTTCAGCATTAAGAAAGGATCAGGAATACTTAGAACAATGCTATTCGGTTTCTGTCATTTTTTAATCTTAATTAACTGTAACTTAGATGGAACACATCTAGATTGCCCAGTCCTATGTAAATTTGAGTTTCAATTCAATGTTATGTGTTTTCTCGTTAATGACACCTTTTTTAAATTTAGTGACACTAAAATTTATAATCAGAGTGAGTATTTACAGTTTCAGGTTTACAATAAAAAGTCATTAATTTAAGCTACATACATATACTGATTTTTAAAACAAAATTAGTTTGCAAATAAAACATACGCAGATTGAAAACGCATTCGAGCTAAGGTAAATAGATCGAAAGCGGATAGAAATTATACATTATAAAATTATATAGTAATCTTGTAATTAAAATATAATTATCTTTATAACACAATTAAAAACATACATGTTTAGCCCTATTTCTGTTTTGCGTGGAATGTTCAGGATAGCGCTAGGTGAAAACAAACTTCCATTGTATCACGCTCGATTTGAAAACAATAAATCAATGTTTTCTGGCAGTTTCCAAGTGTACGACATTATTGGCGAAAGTGGCTCAGGGGATAGAGCGTTCGTCTCCCAATGAGTTAACCAGGTTCGAATCCCAGCGATGGCTAGTCGATACGAATTCCACACCCGGCTATCACGAACCTCAGTGTTGAAGTAAAATGTCCTCTGTGGTAGACGGACTATGGGTTAGAGTCCCCTTGCCATCAGACTGACCGTGGTAGATTTCCGTGTATTTCCTTTCCATGTAGCGCAAATGCTGGTTAGTTCCATCAAAATGTCCTCCACAAAGGCAAATTTCTCCCAACACTTGATCACGGAGTTTCCTTGTCTTCTGGATTGAGTTTGGAATGACAAGGTCTCGGAATAGAACATTAGTAGTCGTAAACCCAAAATTGGTTCGGCCGCTTCGATAATAAAATAAGATAAAAATAATGACGAAAATATTTCATAGATGAAGCAAGTTATCTTGGTGTGAGCTTTCTTATTTATTGGAATTTAACTACTCCCTTTATGATCGCTCGGTTTGGTATGAACTTCAAAAAAAATGCAATTTTTAGAGTCTTTCAATAAATAAAAAAATTTCAGATTACAGCATAGTTTTTAAGATATCTTTCATTCACAAATTATAATCTATGGCAAATATTAAATAATTGACTTTTTTTTCACTCCTTTTAGATTATGAAAGAAATGTGCGATGCAAATTTTTCTGTGTGCAAAGATAATTTGCATTTGGTTGCTCTCGCAGGAAGTTCCCCGGCTGAGGAGGTAAGACGAAGTCATATACTATATTATTAGTGTTGTATTCCCCTTAATAACAGGGTAAAACGCATCTAGAATTTCTGAATCTATTGGCTACAAAAGAATAATTAATTTAAAAATTTCAGAAAATCAGTGTGTTTCTTCATTAAAAAGTATTTTCTTTAACCATAATGAACATATTTTGACGGTTAAAAGTGGATTACGATGTGTTTACAAGTTGGTATAATTTTCCAAAAAAAAAAAAAAAAAAATTCGATAGAATTTGTAATAAATCATAAAATGTTTAATTGTTTAATTTGCAAGCAACTCAGTAAAAAAGTATGTTTCAATTAAATAATGAAATTTTAAAACTATGTAATGCGTTTCGTACATTTCAACAAAAATAATGATAATTAAAAAAAAGACTGAGCTAATGTGTTACAAAGAAAATAATATCATTGAAAAAGTTTTTTTCTCCAGATATTCTCAAATTCAAGTATGTTTTCCCCCCACACAGAAACATAATTTTAAAACAGTATTAAAAGGAAGGTTCTTGACAGCATTTCACGACAAAAAAAATTTTTTCCTCCTGGAAGCCTTAACGTCACATTTTTTTTTAAAGAAATTAAACTTAGTTTTATATGTAGATAGGTACATAGAACACGCATTTCCTTATTCTGCGTTCGAGAAATAAATATCCACAAGTTTAATTTCAAAATTTTAAACGAAATTGACAAATGGCCTGATTTTAAACAAAATTCTCAACTCATCATGCTGGTCGAAATACACCGTCACATTTTTTTCTTAATATGCTGTGCCCATCATCATGAACTCTTTTTGTAACATACGAAAGAAGAGGTTTCTGAATATTTAGTCATTGGTGGTTTATTTACGGTTAATATTAATTTCATGACAAAAATAAGTAAATAAATAAATTTTAGAATTTCTATTTAATGTGTGCTTGAAGAGTAAAAGATTTAAATATCTTTATTATTCAATTCTAGCTTTTTAAATAAGTAAATAATTCGCAGATGATAGCACCAATGAATGAGTTGATGTGTTAAAGCTTTTTTTCACAATGAATGAAAATCTTAATCACATATTACGAAAAGAAAGAACGGCATTATAAGGAAAATAATTGCTGAATTTTAAAATGAAATTTCTTACTTTCAAGATATTAATTCGGGTCTTTCAAAATGAAGTAAATAACAAGAAAGGTAACACTTGAAGCATAATTTTTTTAACCTGAAAAGAAAAAAACAGTGATTCCACCAGAAGTGCAATTTAAAGAGAGTCAATGCTTGATGTGAGTGATGTTTGCGAAGGTGTTTATGCAGTGTTCGTTGTCTATGTACTGGGTGTTCTTCTTCACTTCGACCTCCTTCTGAAGAGCGAGTCTCGTCTGTTCCAGTTTCCTCAGCATTTCTTTCGCCTGACCACTCTGCCCCCTCAGTTGATGGACAGAGAGGCTGAGCTGCCTCACTTCCTCTTCCAATTCTGCGTCCACATCGTCATGGCAGAGCTCTGATCGTGGTCTCCGTCTTCTTCCCTCCATCCTGACAACAACAACAACAACAACACATTATTCTGCAGGTCCTTTTTTTTCAAAATGCTATGAACATAAAGAAATTTATTTCGAATTTTTGGGCAATACAAATATCAACGGGTTTAAGTAAAGGGGAAATAGTTTTTAAGGATGTGTGAAATTTATTTAATGCATTCTGGAATAGGAAACCGAACTGTCAACTTTCAGTCCACGTAATCTAGCAAATGCTTGTTTAGGGTAGAGTTCCTCATATCTAACTTTTGTTTGAGAGTTACGAGAATATTGTTCGAAACATTGAGGTTGCTGTAGAGAAAGATAGTGGAATGGTTTCCACACTTGGCGATGCTTCTTTCCAATCTCACTTTTTTTCTTCTATGTTGGAAACTTTTAGCATAATTTCGGTTTTTTTTAATGTTATGCGATGTTTGCGTTAAAGATATGTTAATAATAAGACAATAATGAAAAGTAATTTAATTAAAAGAGCAAACGATTCATAACTTTACAAAAATAATATTAGTAAAAGTGTTTTTTTTTTATTATTTTCATGAATCTATTTTTCTTCACTTCAATGTTTTTAACTTTATATAAATACCTTTTTTACAACATTTTTATTAAAGTAATGAAATCTTGCCATCTTTGAGATGGAATTTCGGATAAATGTCTATGGATTCGTGCCGCCAAATTTTCTTTTCCGACTCTCAATACAGCCGATCTCAATACAAGATTCGATGAATTACAGGTGGTTACCATCATCAGAATTTGTCATGATATAACTGTAAAAGAGAATTTGTCGCCAAATCAAAATTTTCTGACCGGAATAAAACTAGCTAGAGCACTCAAATTTCAACTACAAACATAGTTTTTGTGAAATTTCTGCCTAAGGAAATTTAACACTTGTCAAATTTCCTACCACTATCTGACTCACTAGAGAGCTTACATTATGAAGATATCTCCATGTTTGACAACAATGCAAGTTTTAATCATTTCATGGTCTCTACAATCAGAATTTATCACTATATTATCGAAAATTAATCACTGCACTGGTATAAATTTCTATTATTTTTCAAAAAACTAGAATATTTAAAGAGTCGAAAATGAGTGAGAAATTAAATAGTCAGTATTTCTCGACAACTAATCCAAACAAGAATGTATCGACATAAAATTAATTCAAGAAATTTTTTGTCGATCGAAATGTTTACCATTTTCCGATTAGTTAGAGTGCTATAATTATAAATAGAGCTCTGTACTGGATAACATCTCAAGTTTTATTCATTTCCTGGACATTTAAGGCATAGCCTTACTATAACTAAACAGAATTTATCGACAAACCAAATTTTGACAGCGTTCCAACTATAAACTGTGTAAGATGGTTGTTGCTCATTTTTTGGCCTCTACAGACATAATTTATGTAATCAAATGAAATTTATCATTTATTTCATTATTACAGAGTGCACATTTATCATTATTACAGAGTGCACACGCTTCAACTCTGTTTATGATGTCAATTGGTTCTGCATCGATTCGTCGAGCACGATTTCTCTCGAACACCGATTTATCGTGAGCACAACTAGTCGCAAAGGCCGAATTCGTCACGGTAGCATATTTCCATGGGTTCTGATGACAGGGCACAATTCGCCGTGGTTGTAACTCGTTGTAACGATAATGCATCGCAGGCATCACTCGTCGTAGGGAAAATTCGTTAGTAAAATGGGGGTGATTTGAGGGGTATAGAATTGAATTTCTTCGAAATAGGCAAGTGCGACACTATTTCTGATGTATTTTTTACGCTCAATTGAATAAAGGCAATGACGAGATGATCGGACTAATAATTTATAAGTTATATGGGTTTAATGAACAAAAAGTACAAATTTGTATTTGTACCAATTTACGCATCTGGTATTGCTATATAAACACGAGAGGTATTGTTTCTTATGTAGTGTTTTAGGTTGACTTTAATGAGACTATGTAAAGGCTAATGGAGTGAATTCTTTGAAAATGAAAAGCACTTTATGAATAAAAAAATAATGCTATTAAACAGCTAGAGGCTATCTGACACTTTTTCTGATGTATAAGGAATTTCTTCATAATAAGTATTATGCATTATTACTGGACTCAGAAACAGTTGCTCAAATAACATTGTCTTGTTTGAGGCCGACCTCCAGCCTTTAGGTCTCAGAAGAAATTCTCTCCTAACTAAATACTTTAATAAGCTCTCTAGCCTTGGACACCAAAATAGAGCAGCAGATTATCTACAAAGGTGGAGCAGCAACCAAAGACTAATGAAGAATAGCCCATTTAGCCAGGTCGTAGTTAACAACGTTCTTGCTGGAAATGTTGAGGATAGCCTTAATAAACAATTTATAGACCCAACTGAAGGACTTCCTGGTGTTTATTTCCATCAACACCTTTCCTCACAAGTTAACAAGAAATTGGATCACAAATACTATGCCCAAACACTCAATACTGGTGTACACAGACGGAAGCAAGACGGACACATCATCATCTGGCTGCGGTGTCTGCACTAAATCAATTAATTACACCTTTAACTTCACCAAAAGGAATCCTGATTACTGCTCAGTTTTTAGAAGTGAACTCATTGCTATTGATACTGCCCTGGATTCTCTTCTAACACTACAGGATCACAATAATATCTGGATACTCTCTGACAGTCTCAGTTCCATACAGTACTTATCGCATTGGAGGAAGGTGAGAGACAAAACAGGAGCTTCAATCCTGCACAAACTTAAAATCCTCTCACGACTGCGTGAAGTCCACCTCCAGTGGATCCCTTCTCACGTTGGGGTTCTGGGTAATGATATCGCCGACACTCTGGCTAAGGAGGGGACAGAATAAACTTTGATGAGTCCAAATTCACTCACCTTCATGTAACTGGCATCGAAAAAGAAAAGCGAAGACAATGTTTCCTGGCTTGTACCCCCTAAACATCATTGGTACCAGAGCACCCATCCAGGAGGTGCACTCAACATTCGGTGCAACCGCAAGGATCAGACGGAGCTTACCAGGCTTACCAGCTGCCACCTTAAGTCTCTTTCTTTCGAGGGTAGTGTTAAAGTCTTCCCAAACTGCCCCAGGTGCCACAACATGCAGGCTTCTCCCCAACATATCCTGGACTGTCTTGGACTGGACAAGAGGGACATTCTAGAAAACCCACTTTTGGTGGCCGACTTCCTTCGGATCATGAATTTATGGACATTGTTTAGCCCTGCTAATTTTGGGGATTAGGAAGAAGAAGAAGAGATATTATACTTTTTATACGGGAAGAAAACCTAGCAACTTTTGAAATAATAGTCCTTTCGATTTGTGCTTCTTTTTATTTGATTAAGCGAGCAAAATACATAAGGAACAATACCTCACTTGCCTCTATAGCAACATGAGATGCTTATATAAATGCAAGCATAAGGCTGTACTTTTTGTACATAAAACTCTTATTACTTCTTATGTATTTTTCTTATTAATTTCCGCTTTTATCTCAATCATATCAGCATGAAAATTACATCGAAAAGTATACTTTTACATGATCAGATAACTCATACATAGAAATGCAAAAAGTGTATCTTAACTACATATCAAAAAAAGTATTTTTTTTTTATATACATAGCAACCTTTTTAAAGTTTGAACTATTCGTTCGATTGACTTTAGTGCAATCTCATTCGCTTAAACGTGAAAAAATAGACAGAAAATAATGCCCCATTTTTTAAGATAGCAATATCAGTTTCAATATCAATATCAAATTTGTACTTTTTCTAAATAACTTCTTAACTATTCGTCAGTTAATCTCCAGACTGGTTTTATTCAATTTATTGTTAAAAAAATACGTCGAAAACAATGAAAAAAGTAAAATTAACAGTAAGAAGTTCGAGTGTTACACTATTTGGACCACATTTTTGTGGCTATATTTGAGTTGCAAATGAGAATCTGCCTTTAAAATTATGACGTATCTGTTATGAATGAATTCTAATTGTAAGCAGTTGAAAATAACGGAGCCTGTGGTGAATAAAAGTGCTTTTATCTTAATGTTTTGTCTTCGTAAATCGATTCATTTCATCAAAACTAACAGAAATTGCACCAGCAACGAAATGTATAGGTTCCACAGTGCCCATGACAAAATGGATGCTAGCAAAATTTAATGCCAATCGAAAAGTTGAAAACATAAACGAGCACAAAATGTTTCGACTCATTCATTTCGTGTTCATCACAATCGATAATCAGCCTTTAATTTCCTTCGAAAAATGATATGGTAAAATTGTTTTCTCTTTTTTTTTGTTTACTGGGAAAAGGTAAATTCTAAATTTTAATTTAATTTCATTATAATGAGTCATTTTATTACATGCTCATCTTTAAATTAATATTTGTGGATTAAATTCACGAGTTAAGAGAACAAAAATAGTACCAACATTTTATTTTTGTTTATAATGCTGGTTATTAAAAATACAGTAAAAAAATATTTATTTGGATCTTAAAGTGATATCATTTATCAGTAATTGTATATTATATAGTATAATAGTATATTATGTATTATTTATAGCATGTAGAAGATTCATCATCATTTTGACTACTTAGGTTGTGATAATAGAAAGCTAACTATTCCCTTATAAAAATAATTATATTGTATATGTGACACTGAATTTCATTTTTTTAATTTTTACCCTTTCCCTCTTTGCGGCGACCGTCTTGACAAAAAATAAGGTGTTTTTAAGGTTGACAGATGTAAAAAATACCCCTGAAGTAGAAAATGAGGTTATGCTTTGCATCTCAAGTAACCTCATTAACAAACCTCAGTTTCAACCTCATTTGCACCTCACAATACAAACTTCATATATAAGTATTCATATATAACTTCATAAATAATTTCCCTTTGGACTGGGAGAAATTATTCACACCTCAAATTTGCTTGAAGTGTATAAAAAAAATAATCCGTACACCTAATCCGTAAAAATAATCCGTACCGGTTTAGTTGTTTTCACACTAATTTGACCAGTCAAAAAATA